TGCGCTTCCTCGGGCAGTGCGCGGCAGCGGCTGGAGTGGGTGGGGTGGGACCGGGTGAAATGGAGCGGCCTCCCTAGACAGAGCCGCGCTCCTCTGTTGCCATGGAGACAGGCACCAAGGACACCAGGCTCTCCCACCTGCACCGTCCGCACCCTGCCCGGCCTCACGCGGACCCGCAGCGCCCCCGTGCGGCCAGAGACACGATGACACGTGGCGCCGCGAATCTGATCTTTGAGACCCACTCTGGTCCCTTGTGATACACATTGGGGAGACTGAGTCTCCGAGGTAGAGGAAGGATTGGCCTGAAAAACTACGGGGAGCCCAGGAAGGGACCAAGGTCACAGCTCAGGGATTCCGTCCGTCATACATCGGCTTTCCTTTGGGGAGGCCCCAGCTGAGGAGAACTGAACACATAGGGTCCAAAGAAACGAGGCCCTGAGGTGGAAGAGAAGCAAGTGCAGGCAGGGTGTTGCTGGAGACCCAGGAGTGATCTAGACAGCCCTGGGCCTGTCCTGTCGTGGAGACAGACATGTTACAAGGCAATGGCAGCCCACAGGCAGCAGGGCTGGGTTCAAACCCAAGGCAAGCCCAGATGGGGTGCCTGACCCAGCCTGGAGGCCGACAGTACTTCGGAGAAGGAGGCACTGTGTGGGGACAGCTGCCGGCCATGGAAGGACAGGGCGGGGAGGGTGAGCAGACAGCCTGTCTGGAAACGTGAGATGCAGGTGCCTTGGGGAGGGCGCCCAGCTCAGCCCTTAAAAGAGAGGTACAGGGTGACACCAGAAGTCAGCAGTTTGGTTTGGGAGTAGCCAGGAGCCAGTGCAACGCTTGGAGCAGGGCAGGGAAAAGCCCCAGAGGAGGTGGCGACAAGATCCTAGAGACCACGGCCTCCACTCTGATCTTGGGTGTGCACGCTGTGCATCTATTAGGGATGAGTTCAGTGGCAAACAACAGAAAACTGCAAGTGGCCCAAGCACATTGATGTTTCTTTTTCTTGTGGAAAACTTAGTAGTGAGTTGGGGCAGTGGCTCAGTATGTTGCTAAATGCTCCTGCTTTTTGTTTTGCTTTTTCACTTTTGTCCTTGTGGTTGCAAAATGGCTGCCACAGCTCCAGCTTTCAAGCCCACATTCCAAGCGTGAAGAAAGGGCAGTACCTGCTGAGCTGAAGTCTCCAACTTTAGTTTCTAACTCCATTTTACTTGATGTGGCAGCTGTGTGAGATGCAGCATGCGGAATCCACAGAGCCCTCGGTTAAGCATTTACAAATTCAGACATTTATTCCTTTGACAAGCCAAGCCACTGGGTAAGCTAGACACATGGGAAGGGAATACATGACCCGAGTCCCTGAATCCATCAGCTTCTCCCTGCCTCCACCACCACAGCTGTCCTCCGCTTGCTGACACTCTTGGGTTTCTTGAAGAGGGTACATCGGGGAGAAATCAGGTGGACCTGGAAAGTAGGTCTGTTATTTGCTGGCTGTCCTGACATCTCCTCGCTGATCACTGAGTGACTGGTCAGGGCCTGGGATGCTTCTATCAGTGTCCATCCAGATGGACACCGCACCAACCTGTGCTTACCAACTTAGGTGAGGGTATCAGGGCATTTCATTTGCGTTTTCCTCTTGCACAACTCTGCAGGGAAAAAACAGGCCAAATTGGGCCACAATAGGAGGCACACTGTCCTGTACAAAGCTCAGAAGACACATCGCTGCACAGTGGCACAGCAGGGAAGCTACAGCTTCTACCATCTGTTTGGGTCTCACTGCCAGCCTGGGCGAGATGGCCACTGTTGTGGGGCATTCTGGGAAATCATATTTTTAGCCCCGCTAGCTGCAAGGAATTCTGGGAAAGTGAATATATTTATCTGAGGCTATGGCTGTTGCTAGCCTCAAAGGGTTGTGGGAAAGTGACTAGTTTTTAGCTGGGTTTATATTTCACCCTTGTACAGGAGATTGTGGGAAAGTGAATACATTTAGCTGAGTACGTGGCCATAATTGGCTGCTGTGAATCTGAGGAGTGAATTGTTATAGCTGTGAATATGGCTTTCAGCAGCTGTAAAGGTTTCTGGGGAAAAGAATACTTTCAGCTAGATAGGGCCATCTGCAGCAGACAGAGATCCTGGAAGCTGGATTTTTTTAGCAGGGCACCTATGGCATCATCCAAATTCAAGGGATTCTGGGAAAGTAAATATCTCTACATGGCCTGTATACCCTGCTAGCTGCAAGAGATCCAGGAAAAGTAACTATTTTTAGCTACCACTATGGCCACACCTAGCTGCAAGGGATTCTGGGAAAGTAACTTTTTAGAGTCTGACACAGCCACACCCAGCTTCAAGGGATTCTAGAAGAAGAGTTTTGTGAGACTCACTGCCTGGAAACAAAATTAAATGGGCCCTGTATAGGTGAGGAAGGAAGCACAGGTTTGTGCCCCAGCTGGGTCATATGCCCACAGGGGACGAGGAGGAGGAAGAGGACGGGTCCCGGGAGGAGCGGCTGCCTTCCTGCTTTGACTACGTGATGCACTTCCTGACCGTGTTCTGGAAGGTGCTGTTTGCCTGCGTGCCCCCCACCGAGTACTGCCACGGCTGGGCCTGCTTTGGCGTCTGCATCCTGGTCATCGGCCTTCTCACTGCCCTCATCGGGGACCTGGCCTCCCACTTTGGGTGCACCGTGGGCCTCAAGGACTCTGTCAATGCTGTTGTCTTCGTGGCACTGGGCACCTCCATCCCCGGTAACTCCCCAAAGATTGCTTGTTGGGTCAGGATCTCAGGGCGGAGGTAGCACAAAGGAAGGGTTCTCAAGAAATGCTGGGGTGCATAAAAGAAACTAGGAAGGAGTCCCATGGGTGCAATGTGTGAGTTGAATCCTGCCCAAAAGTAAGCTGGTGGAATGGTAGAAGCCAGATGTGGAGCGGCATGTAGTGGTGCAGGACTGCATTCCCAGCACATGGGAGGCTGAGGCAGGAGGATGGCAAGTTTGAGTTCTTCCTGGACAACCTAGTTAGACCCTGTCTCAAAACCAAAAAGGGCTGGGGTTATAGCTCAATGTGAGGGTCCTGGGTTCAGTCTCCAGCACCATGAGGAGAAAAAATAATAGGAGGCATCGAAACTCAGAATGCGGGCAAGGAACCAGCTGAATACAGTCAGGTCACGGAAAGAGGTGGGAGTCCCAGAGACACCCGGCAGAGGTGTTGACGCAAGCTAGACAGCGCCCCAAGAAAGACGTAGAGGCACACGCCTATCATCCCAGCACTCGGGAGGCTGAGGCAGGAGGATCACTGTGACTTTGAGGCTACCCTGGGCTACGTAGTGAGTTCAAGGTGAGCCTGAACCCAAAGGGAGACCCTGTCTCTAAAAGAACAGCAGTGCGTCCCAGGGTAGCTGGAGGCGGGGTGCGCCTGGGGCAGACCCGTCCCACACAGAGCGGGCGCTGGTCGCGTGCGGAGCGCTGACCCACGCTGTGTCCCCGCAGACACGTTCGCCAGCAAGGTGGCGGCGCTGCAGGACCAATGTGCGGACGCGTCCATCGGCAACGTGACGGGCTCCAACGCGGTGAATGTGTTCCTGGGGCTGGGCGTGGCCTGG